TCACTAACAGAGACGGCAGTACTACCTTTAACAATCTATCCTTGTCCTATCAGAGGTCTTCCTAAGCGGTAATACACTTAACGGATTACATTCAAGACCTAGAAACTGTAGAATATTACACACACTAGCATAATCGTATGATAGACGTTCCTTAATGGCCTGAGACTTCACTTCAGGTACACCACTGATTATTATGGAGCGAAGCCTCTCGACCTCCAGGTAGGGTAGACCTGCTTCAACAGAAGCAGGAAAACCACTATCAGAGGTCGTTTGACCTCGAACCTCCGGCACATGATCATGACTTCCATTAGGTGACAATTTACTAGGCACTGACTTCCGAATGCAATCCAATTCTTTCCTGAATTCTTTGTTTTCTACGAGGAGTGATTGTAGTTCATGTGTGATCGCGACAATCACTTTCTTGATACCATCAGGCGATACGGTTAGATTTCGTGATGGCCACCACTTGCTCTTGCAACTCCACATCCTTCGCTCCATTCTTCTGCTCATTGGTACTTCTCACTGCACCGTTCCGCAGATCCATGGCAGAATATGTCAGTTGATCAATGACAATATTCGAATCGATCTAAATGCGAACGCCTAGCGCTTCACTGCCAATCAAAAATCAAGAACTCGAACAGTATCTTACCTTTGCTGGTGGCAGTTAAGAAGATTCAAGATTGCCCACGTGCCACAGCGAGCGAAGCGTGAGTCCTTTGCAACAGAAGAGAGCAGAAGGGACTACAGAAAATGATAGGCGATCGGAGCGTTGAAGTGAGCCGCCGCACCGGACAATAGCACAGGTGTTATCGTTGGGGAACCTAGCAAAGAGCAAAAATGCTAGATTTGTTCTTCTCTAGTGCCCCTCACCTGATAAGATAGTTGTCTCGCCTGTAGGGTTTAGTGATCACAATAACATAAGTTTTTTTTAGCTTGAAGTAATGTGCATGAGTACACTTACTTTTTAGATTTACTAGGCTGTCGGAAAACTCCTTGACCATTTGTCGATTTTCTTTCTAATTCACTTTCATTTCTTTAGCACAGAGAGCAATTTGCAAATATATGCCCCACCACAATCGCCAACATATTGCCTTTTAGCAGGTAACTCGTGGATGGCGTTTGTCTGGAAATACTGAGCTTTCAAAGCAAAACCTTGAAGAAGTCCTTTTTCGAGTAGGTTCGGATCATTGAAGCTCTCCCTCTTTTATTTGATTTGACAGCAATGGAAGCAGATGGTGGTCTGTTAGTGCCGGGTCTGCTGAACGCAACAGGTGGGACAGAACGTCCCATAACGGGCTTGGAGACTTTTGCTGGAACCTTCCAAATTCGTTGACGAGCGTTGCCTCTGTAAAGTAAACTTTTCCATGGTTTTAAAGCATAGCCGGCGGAACCCATCCATTTGCCCATATTATGGTTCAACAATAGCAGTGCAGTTCTTTGGTAGGAGCTGTCAGTGAACGAATCGCTTGGAGCTTCACCAATTCTGAAAGTTACCTCTCAAGTTGCAGTGCTGGAATCGGCGCTGGAATCTCGGTTCTACGCGTCTGAGCCACTGGCGCTTCCGACTGCAGTTTACGTGAGGAACCCACTTCTGATTACCACCAACAAAGTAGTCGGGTCAAACAAGAGACAGACGGTAAATCAAAATGTTCATGCAAAATCTGAAGGCCTCTGACGGCGGTTGTCACCAATGCCACGGAATCTCCTTTTGCCATATTTCTTGCCTTTTTGAGAAGATATTGAAGAACAACTTTTGTATTCTACAAACTTTGAAAAAGCTGCGTCAGTTTCCGAGCATGGCTCCGTTTTTTGTTTTCAATCAGCTCCAGAAGAGACTCGTCATTCAGAGGAACAGGCCAAAAGATCTTAAGCTTTTCCCGAGTTTCTGGACTTTGACAACCAAATGTTTATCACGTGTCCTTAAAGACACTCCGGGGCTCCATCGCGAGACGTGACCAGCTGCCTTTTCGCGTCGCTACCATTGACGCGTTTTCTGGATTTTAGAAGCAGATGCAGTCAAAGATGCTTTCAGTCAAAAACGATTTTTTTCGGCTGTTAATCGCTGAGAGAACCCCACAAAATTTCTATAAGGGGATAATTGAACGTAGTGTTTCTATAAGCTTTGCAATAAATGTTTAAAAATTACCCCTGAAGATTTTGCAACATGCAGGACGAAATCTCCAAAGACTTTTCCGATAACCCAATTTTCATTTCGGATGCAATCCTGACGGACTTTGAGAGTCTGTCCCAATTCGGTGAGTTCCATTGCTTGAACCAGATTTTTGCGTGAATGAGAAGTACAAGCTATTTTTGTCTTTGCTTCATAATGCTATCGATTTCTGTGCATTATGAAGAAAAGTCCATTGCATATAACCTATCGATACACTTCCATATCTAGAATATGTGGGAACATCGAGAATGTCTGTTCAATGAGGCCAGAAGTATGAGTAGTGGACATCCCCGTGACCATGATTTCGCTTAGGTTCCTCTTGACTACGTCCTTCCACCTCTTCTTTGGGGCTCCTCGCGGTCGCTTGCCTTTGCGCTTCGAAGTCTATTGCATTCCTTATTGGGTGGCCTTGTGGTCTTCTTAGCACATGTCCATACCACCGCAGTCGCTGCTCCCTCACCTTCAGCTGGACAGGGGCAGTCTGCATGACCGTTCTGACATCCTCTTCCTGACCCTGTCCTCATTTTGGCCGAGTAAAGCTGCCTTTCGTGGTTCTTGTTCAAGGGCCAGCACTCGCAGCCGTAGAGCATCGCAGGCCTTACCACTGTGGTAAATCAGACGTTCCCGTTGAGGCGTTGCTAGAGCACCTTCGTTCGTAGGGATTCAGTGGATCGTCCATTTTCATCATACGCGTTGATCTCGCTTTACTGCTGGTTCGAACTGCGTGGCCGCCAGATCACTCCGAGGTGGAAGTCCTCCAGTCTTTCGTGCTTTCGCCATGTCCATCCACGATCGGCTCTGCACTCTCCTCAGAACTCAGGAACTTGGTCTTCTTGACATTTAGCCGGAGCCCACCTTCTGCCAGGACCTTCTGCCACTTCTGCACCTTGGTCCTGTAGTTCTTCTCTGCTATCAGCTATAAGGGCGATGTCGTCAGCGTAGAGGATGGTCTTTAGTGGTCCTTCTATGAGCCCCTTCACCATGACATCTAGTGTTAGGAGGAAGAGGAACGGACTCAGAGCTGACCCTTGATGCACCCCAACCGTGATGTTTACCTCTTTTGTTAGGCCATGTGGGGTGCGTATGGCTGCCTTAGCCCCGTCGTACATGTCCTTCACCAGCGAGACCAGGTGTTCTGGCACGTTCCGTTCTCTAAGCGCTCTCCACAGTACCGCTCGTGGTAGCCGGTCGAACGCCTTCTCCAGGTCGAGGAAGGCTAGGTAACAGGGTCGGCGCTTTTCTCGATACTTCTCCATCACTTGTCTTGCGATGAAGATGGCATCCGTCGTAGACCTTTCGGGCATGAACCCGAACTGTTCCTGGGAGATGGGGACCAGCTCCCGCAGTTTCGAGTCGACCAGTCGCGCGTACAGCTTCATGGGTAATGCTTTTCTCACTTGACCGCGGGTGATTGAGCAGTCCATTTGCGTCGGCCTTTTGTTTGGAGATTGCGATCTGATAGTTACTTGTTTTCAGGCATCTGGCAACCCTTGCCTTGCAGTTATGTTTGTTTGAGGATCTGTGGCGCTGTCTTATATTCGTTTACTTTCGAGCGCCTTCTCGCTATAGCCTCTGATTGGCCCGACCTATCCTCGGCAATTCCGCTTCCATCTCATCTCTCATAGTTGTAGACACCAAACTCATCTCATTCCAGAGTGCGGATTGGGACCTACTGGGCCCCTTCTGGCCGCGTGAGTTGTTTCTCTTAGGGAAAACTCCTTGTTTCCAGTGAATGCCTGTGCATTTATCGACTCCTCTTGATTTTCGTCGTTCGCCCTCATTCTTATATCATTGAATTTCATGGTCTTGAACCTTTGGTGTTATACGAGCCAACCTGCTCCAATACTAATAACACTTAGTGACTAATACCGTATCTGCTACAGTATCCAATACTGAGTATTTTGCCGTACACCTACATTAAATGCACACCATTTACCCAATTTTCAATTTGCAAACCTCACGTCTTTCTCTAAACCACGTCTACTAACGTTTTATTCTACTGTTTTCACATATTTCTCATATTGATTTTCATAAATTCTGAGTATGTATAGGATCAACAATGCTTTCAGTTCAATCTTTGGAAGAGCTCGGGAATGTAAGGTTTACAGATGTGTAGTCGTTATGTTAAGAGGCGAACGATACCATTTTCTTATCATTACATTTCTTCAGTCTCACATTTCGTATTTCTCCTTCCTTTTCTCATTGGAACATGGCTGTCAGACATTCTACCAAGAGGGAAACCCGGGTAGGTTGTTCTCCCAGCTCCGTTCATCGGGATCATTCTCTTAATTCTTTTGATCATACCTTTACACCATGTTAGTTTATTACAATTTCACGTTTAGAATGATAGCCTCACATATCATTACAACTTCCTTCACCCCTGAAGCATTAATTGATTGCTCCTCACACTATGAATACTGTTGAAACACCATACTTTTGAAAATAGATACGTAACAAATACGGTATTCATATGTTTTTCTTACTTCAACTTCCTTTCATGTGACTAATTAGTCACACATATAAATTCATGTACGTCCACAGACGAACATGAATCTGCGTCCACAGACGATTTTCTGCTTCCACAGACGGCTTCTCTTTTCCAATCATACTGATTTCACTCTGCTTAAACTCCAACTCTCACTTCTAATAACTCCTTTTTTATTATTCTCATGTTTGAAACACAGCTGTAATGATGAGCAGTTTATTCCAATTTGCTTTGTATATTCAGTAATTTTCATGAGTCAATTGATAAAACATGTTATTAAACTAGTCATATAAAACTGGATAGGTTAATAACACAATATTGATAGAAGACTATTCATTTGTCGGCTTATTCTCCTCCATCACTTCTCGATATTTTATTGGACATGTCCTCACTCAAAACCAATTCCCTTTTACGAGATTGATTTCTAGTATCCTGAATAGGAAACAATTTTCATAATGAGACATCATTCAGTTTACACTACTCAACAATTTTTGAAAGTTTAACCATACATAATCATCACCTCATTGGTAAGCTCAGAGTTTTCCGTATTTTCCTCTCCTACTTGATCTAAAGACAGCAATCTTTCCACCTTCAGGGAACCCACTGAATAGCTCCTTTCTAGAATATCCACTTTAAATGATATTGTTTTCAACAAATCAACCATTCATTCACCTCATAACCTTGTAGATCCATAGTACTTAATAAGGATTTGATAGGTGCTCCATTCCACTCTCGATAGTCCCATCCTAACAATATTGCTAGGACAGGTGATTTGAATTGCTGTAATCCATAGTTTTGATTAATGGTTTGTCAATTCATTGAAACAACTCCATTTCTTTCAATAAACTGCCACTCACCATAGTATTTTTGAATTTTCTATTCTTGATCAATACATAGGCACCCCTTATCAAGATTTCCGGGCAAGGCACCTTCCTCTGTTTACATATATCTCGAAGCTTTTGACGAATAAATAGACTAAAAAATTCCACAGCATTGGTGATAACGTTAATCTTTTTCAAATAGCTTATTGTACTATTGACTGTCTCCAAACTCACCCCAGATTTTCGACATCGCTCTTCATTAACGATTGATTTCTTACTACTTTTACATCACTCTTATGATCCTTATTGTAGTTAGTTAACAGTTACTAGTTACTGTAAGTTAGTTACTGTAAGTTACTAGTTGCTGTAACTAGTTGGCTGTAAGTTTAACCGTCCCTCTGAGATGAAGTGGTCCCAAAAACTTGAGTCATTTCAGTCTTAAAAAATTCCATAATTTTCAACTTTTGGGACACAACAAGTAGTCAACTTACTCGAAAACATATTGTGTCTTCTATAGTTCCACCTTTCTTTACCCAGCCCAAGGGAAAAGAAAACTCGTCTTACTAATAATTAAAATAGCTACACATCCCTAAATAAACTCACCAAAAAACAAAAAGATAGATGTAAGAGTAAACAATGATGAAACACAAACACAATGGAAAAGTGAAGACAACTAGTAATAACCGAAAAGGAAACTTCAAGTAACGAAACATATGTATGTGTATACATAGTTATAGATGTTTACGCCGAAATAGCGCCTTCAGGGTTGCGACAGTATCCGTCCAGTTCAGCTCTCCTGGCTCCTTCGGGAGGATGTGACGAGCGAAGCGGGTGTGACTTGTAGCGTCCAGCGCAGAGACGAGCAAGCGTGTCTTCAACACGTTTCGTCCATCCCTTGACAGTCGACCTCGAACACGTTCTTGTGCCGGTGCGGCTCGCTATGCCCCTTCCGCGCTGCCGGGCCCTCCTAGAACCCCTGTACCCCCCGTGTGCGCGCCGCTTTGAAGCCATCGCGATCGAAGCAGCAGTCATCTTGATCAGCGTCGTAGGAGAACTTCTCGATTCTCCTTGAGACCCGGTCGAATACGGTCTCTTGCGGCGCGACTGTGGGCGTGGCCATCTTCTGGAGCAGGTCGACGAGGAGCTTCTGTTGAGCGGCCATCATCTGCAGCAGGTCCTTGAAGTGAGTGTCTTCTCTCAGTTCTTCTTTGCATCCTGCGAAGGCGGAGACAAGTCGTTTGCCGTCGAGGGTCCTTGAAGTCGTTGTCCTGATCGCCAGTTGTTGTGTCCTTCGGAAGACGGGCAGTAGCAGAATATTTATTAGAAGACATTGAACTGAACTACAATGAAACTGTACACTTATATACCGTACTGGCCCGCCAGATCTCTGGTCAAAATCTAGCAGGTCGCGTAGGTTACAGATCAAGTACAAAAGAAAGAGATCACTTGGTGTCCCAACAGAATCCAATATGAAACAGAGTACCGCAGTAGGTGTGTCCATAAGCGAGTTTAATCCTCAAACTCAACTTCCTGTTCTCTATGTAATACCCTTTTCGTGCATTTAATTTATTCATGTGACATAGCATCGTATCATAGGCTACCGGATATATGCTTAGTGTCGTTTCTTTCACCAGTGCGAGAGTTTCGGTTAGAAGGCCTACGCCATATAATTTTACGTCAGAAATATTCCAGTGAGTGACAAGCGGCATTTGCATCTCTCTCATCGTATGCTATACGAAGTTATTACGCTCATGTAGCCCTAAGCATTACCAGTATGAGTGAAAACCTCGTACGATTAAAGTTAGGAATTTTTTGAGACGAAAAAGAGAGGTAGGTCGAATTTGACATCATCTGACAAATCATCCCTCTACCTTGCTAAACAGTTGGGCCTGGACAAAATATGTATACATTTAGTTAGAGTAGGGTCTGCACTGTTTGGTGGAAAATTTATTACTTACCAGCTCAACTGGACAATTTTTCCCGGAATCTTTTTTGCCACGTGGGGTCAAAAGCGCACCCTTTTTGAGCACACGTGAGTAGCAGATGAGCACATTTATTAGAATTTCTTGGTCAATCAACTTCGTTAGAGCGTCTGTGCACCATCGATCAGTAACTGCTAGGGTGTCCTACCATTCCAGCACAAGACTGGTGCAGCCCCGTTTTGACTGATTTAGCTAGGACCACCTTTTTGGCGACGGTTGCGGGCATCCCTTCAAAGACTTTACTGTCTTTTAAGAAAACTGTGAAAAACCGATGAGCATTTTAAATGGTAGTATTCCCTCCATCAAATGCAATGCTGGTTTGGTGGGCGGAGGTTACAGCTCTCAGCAAGAATTTTGATGCATTTGGTACACACATGCGAATTTGCACACTGGACCCAGGAATTTTCAGAAGAAAGTATAAAAATTGGGGGAAAGTTAAATTGTGAACCAACAATAGAAGACGGTAAGCAACATATTTCGCAATATTAATGAGCAAAAACTGCCTTCTGGGATATTGATTTTCCATAGTAATCGGCCCCAAAACTTCCTGAACTCAGAAAAGCGACACTAAGATATCCGGTACCTAATAGTAATACATAATACTAAGTTATATTTCTCTTTTATCCTCACACTCTTTACTTTAAAATGATGATATATATTAATGTTTGTTTTTCATTCGTCTATATGTTATTAGGCTGTTTCCCTAGCTTTGTTTTTATTCTGTTTTTGAGTTTTCTAATTGTCATTCCAACATATTGCATTCCACAACTCACATGGTCAAACTGTAAACCACGATTTGGTGGAGTTACAGTTGGTATTTTCTTATTTATAGGTATTGATTTTTAATCCTGTTGTATGAGATATTATGAAGTTTTCCACATTAGTTACTTTACAGGTTCTACATTCTCTTTCACATTTATGTCCCTTGTTATTGTTACCAAAGTCGTTAAGTATATGTATGACTATTCCCAGTATGGTATTGACTACCCCACACCTTGCCTTTGTGAATCGGGTTTTAGTGTGATAGTTAGAAGGTGCACATTTTTCATTTTTTGACCTAGAATCTAAGTGCATGAGAGGCCAAACTCATACACAGAAAGGAGTCTCTTCCCTATGGGTTCGGCAGGACTGCTGCCATGGGGTTACTCTCCCTGTAAGTTCGCGAACGGAGACTAGCGCCTGGGCGCGCCAAAACTGACCCTTGCGTGCGTTTTGACTTTTATGAACCTCATCAGCGCCAATACCTATTTTTATTAAGAGGTATGGCCCTCTTGATGTAGGTTGAGGTGTTGTACGGGATTTGTCTTGATCCCTATGAATGAGGAATGTTAAAAGAAAGAAATAATAAAAGAAGGACTGTAAACGAGAAAGAAAAAAGTGTGTGGGTTAGGCTTTTTCAACAAGGGTAATTATGTTGATTAAAATTCAATTAGGAGTAATATGGTGGTAGGGTTGTTCATGTATGTTTTTGAGACTTGGATTGATAATCTTTATGTGTTGGTTGTTATCTAGGATTTCCAAACAAAATTACATTAGTCTGTATAGGTTTTTGCCTTAACTTTTGCCTTATATCTTATTGTTTCAATATTATTCTATGCAGAGGTATTTTATTTACTCTATAATATAAAATTCGTGCACTTTACGGCCAGTGCTTTTAATTTCACGTCACTTATTCTGAGTTCTATTATTTCGTGTTGTTATTCTATATTTATCTTTGTTTTGATTATGCATTCTTGTTTCTTACTATATATATTCTTTCAGGATGTTATGTTGTATGGATTCTTATTACATAACGTCTGTATGGTTCGGTTCAGGTGGTATTCTTGCATTAAACGAAAACATTCGCGATGTAAACGCTACAAGGTGGGTTTCAATGTTACGCTTATTAATATAAAATTTTCTTCCAATTCGGAACCTAATGTATCAGATGTATTGTTCTGTGTGGTATCGATCCTGGAAATTACCGTATCCTGTCATAGGTTCCACACTGAAGATCTAAATTGTCAACCCAATTGTTTTTGGGTTAGTATTCTTGTGTGTCTTTTAGTTGTTAGGTGTCCTTTAGTCAGTTATCTCATGTAGATTTATAAAATGCAAGTTTTCTTTACTGTATTATTTAGATTTTCGATGGTTATTTTTTCAGGCACGTGTTTATCCGGTGTCTTTTGTGTAGTGCGTGACTTCGATTCGGTATGATTTTTTGCTGT